GCCGTGCGCCGCCGCGCGCTGAGCGCCGCTTGTTTGGCTCCGTTCGCCAGGAGGGCGAAGGCCACCCCATCCCCCAGGCTGAGCCCTGGGCCCGCAGAAGAGTTAAAGCCAGGAGTGGGGCGGAGGGCCCTTTGTCCCCCTGCCAGACGTCCCGCCAGGCTTATCAGCAGACAGCTTCTGGCCCAGCTTGCAGTCCTTTCCAGCCCCCTCCTGACCCTCCCGGGGTAAAGGTCTGGCCGGGAGGGTCATTCTGCTAACTGCGTGGCGCGGAAATGCAGCTGCTAAGAGGATTAGCTGCTGGGAGGCGAGCGATCAGCCGGGACCTCCTCCCCTTCCGCGCCCAATTAAGGCCCCCGCGAGCTCGTACAGCGCCTCTCCCCTGTTCCCCATTTCCCCCCCCCCCCCAAGCCCCGGCCCTTCCCAGGTCCTCTGCCTGTGACCTTGGGGCCTCGGACTTCAGCCCCGCGTCTCCGACGGTGCCTGTTCAAAACGCTTTGCCCAAGCCGCCCCGACTCTTCCCGGAGCTGGAAGCGAAAGCTTTGCAGTTTGGTTTCTGTGTGTGTATCGTGGATGACAGACTCAGACTGGGGGAGGCCGACTCGTAGCCCCTCGGGCCCGGTCAGCGCGCCCCCCCCCGCCCCCATCCCTGAGGAGCTCTAGCGCATTGGGAGATGCGATGGAATTTCGAAACGGTGTTCTCCTATTCTGCCCTCGAGAAAGACGGGAAATGCTAATCAGCGCCGAGATAAAGCAGACAGTGGCCTCAGTCTATTTCCAGTCCTGTATATTTTTGCACCGTACAGTAAAAAGAACCTGGTACTTGTGAAAAGTCCCTCACAGTGTTTAATAGAAACGTAAGTGGCTGAGTGGCCCCAATTAACACCTTGTGATAAGGCATTCCTAAGATGGAGTGTCAGACACCAAATTGTGAAGAGATGTATCTAATTAATCCTCCTAGGATGACACCGATAAACAAGCCTCTATTTAAATAAAGATCAAGGACTCGGGCGCCCCGTTTGTTTACATTCTTCGCCAGGGTCCCAGCGTTTGCGCCCGCGCAGGCGGCGTTGCCGGCGCAGGGTGGAGACACCCGCTTGGGGGTCTGCTGGCTCGCCTCCGTCCTTGCCCCCAAACAAAAGTACGCAATTAGACAAATAAACTGCAACGAAAGAGGAAAAAGAAGTGCAAAAAGGACCCGACTTCGAGTTGGAAACCCCGTTGTTTGTCACTTTCCACGCATTCTTTTTCATCGCCAAACACTTTGAGGTTGTCCGGGTTTTTAAAAAAGAAGGCAGTCCACCCATCACCCCGGGAAGTCTTTCCTGCTTTGGGGAGGACTAGGAGCAAGCCCTTCCTCTGCGCCCCCACCCCCACCCCGCCCCGGCACGACTTCGCTCCTCTCCGCCCCAGGACTCTACCTCCAGGGTGATGAAGCCGAGAACTGCCGGGACGCGGGTAGCTATCCTGGGGGTGGGGTGAGGAGGCCACCCACTGGGAAAGGCAAGAATCGGGAAAGAAATAGGGGAGGAGGGGAAGGTGCAGCCTGTAAACCGGGGCGGAGCCCGCGTGGAGTCGGCAGCAAGGCACACTCGCATTTCTAGCTGGAGAGTTTCAGGGCTCCGAAGCAGCGTTTGGTCCGAGCCTCTTTCCTCTCCTGCCTCCACTGTTTAGCTTTAAATCTGGGTGTAAAGGCAGACTCACGGTCTTCCCCTTCCTCTGCGATCTATTCCATCTTTCTGAACCAAACAAGGCACGGTAGGATGCCGGAGAGTTTTTTTTAGTTGCTGTTTTGTTGCTTTTAGTTCAGCAGGTGTCATGAAAACCCTCCGAAAGAAAAACATTCCTGCATGCCCCTTGATTTTAATCGAAATTGAGCCTCCAGTAGGGATAAAAATTAAAGTCACTCGTTCTCCACTCGCCCGGACGCTTCCCCTTTTCCGCGCTCGCGGCGGTGACCCTCTCACCCTGCCGCGCGCCAACTTGGCTTCTCACCTCGGGGAGATTTCGGCACCAACGGGAGGTTCTTTTAAAAGGCAATTTGCAAAACTCTGTTGGTGGGCCTGACTGAGTCCCCTTCTGCGAACTCCGCATCCCTGGGGTTTAAGTTTTCGCGTACGCGAACTCCGCAGGTCCAGCCCCTGGGGACTCGAACCAGCGGAATCCGTCCCCCTGCGCCCATCTTTGTCCGGGGTCGCGGTCCCTCCTGCTCCTCGAAGAGGCCTGGGCGCTGCGCCTGCACTTGGCGTTCTCGCGGTGCCGGCCGCCCGAACCCGCAGGAGCTGGACTTCCTCCCCATCCCATGAGCTGAGCCCGAAGTTACGACTTCTTTTGTTTTTAAACATGATGGGGACTCTGACCTTGGTGGCCACCGAATTTCTCCTTATTACAGCTTAAAAGAAAGTCAACATTTCCTGGCGACCCCTTCACCTCTCTTCGCCTTTTTCTTTTGGCCTTAAGAGTCCTTTGCGTGTCGCAGAAGTCGCATCGAGCTCACCAGAGGAAGGATGTAACTGCGCCAGACACGGAGCAACCTCTCCGAGGTGGACCCCAAAGTGCCTGGCTTCTGATGGGCCCCCTGATCGCCCCTAAAGCGTGAGTCTCTGCTTCTTTTAGGCAGAAGGGTGTGAACCACCACGCCACCCTCACTTTAATTTCCTCTGTCTCCTTAAAAAAAAGTCCTTCACGTTTTTGGCTCTCAGGGAGACAGCAGGGCCCGCGCAGGAACTTCTGCAACGCTAGGCGGGACCCCGCCTTCCCTGCGCCGTTGGTACCGCGTCCTTGGCCGTGAGTCTGGCCGCAGTTCCGCGGAGGCTGCGAAGTGACTGGCGGCGAGCAGCCTTCGCCATCTGGCGGCCAAAACGAGGCAGGCTCTCCCAGCCACTCGCACTGATGCTTCTGTAAAAGAGGTCTTTTTCGTTTTCACCTTTTTTCCTTTTATGCATGACTGGGACATTGTGCCGTGCACCAGAGACTGACACACTGTAACCGACTCTAATTCGATTTTTAAAAGAGGTCTTTTTCATCCCCTTTCCACTCCTCTTTCTTCGTATGGAGGGAGGAGCCCGGAATTTGGAGTTCTAAGGCTTTTGATTGTAGTCCCGGTCACTAGCTGCAGTTACCCTCGGCTCATCTGCAAAGTGCAGGCCGGAGCAACGCCTGCCTCGCTCAGTACTAGGAAGAAGGAAGAAGAGGGCGAACTTAACTGCTTTGTGAACTGTTGAGTAACTCCAAATAGGCATTATGAATTGCTAATTTCATAACGTGATATGCAGTGCAGACTCGGGTGCAGTCATTGGCAAATGAAAGACAACTAAATTCATTCAAAAATAATTATGGACAACTTCAAACATTTGCGAAAGTAGAGAGCTGTGGACGGCCTGTCTTCCAGCTACAACCACCACCAACTCTCAGCCACTCTTGTTCCAGACTATAATCCCTACCCATCCTTTCCACCACGAATCCCAGACATCCTGATGTCTAATCTACCACTGTTTCCACACATTGCCCTAAAACATAAGGATTCTTTATATATAGATCATACCTACAGAATCAACAGAAATTTCTGAATATCGTGAAATACCCAGCCACGTTTCCCTGATTGGCTCATAAAGTTTTTGTTGTTCTCGTTTGTTTGTTTGCTGTAGTTTGTTTCAATTGGGATCCAAAAAAGTCCCACACATCTGGTTGATGATTATTTTTTTACTTTTTTTTTTAGGTTTCTTATTTTTAGGGGGTGTAATTAAGTTTATTTACTTATTTACCTTTTTTTTTTTTAAGAGGAGGCACTGGGGATTGAACCCAGGACTCATACATGCTAAGCATACATGCTCTATCACATTGAGCTATACCCTCCCCCCTGGTTGATGATCTTAATTCTCTTAATTTAGACATCTTCTCTCTTTTGTTTGTCCTTGCAATTTATTGAAGAAGTCTGAGCATTTATTCTGTCCGGTTTTCCAGGTTCTGGATTTTGC